GGCCGACCTGAAGAGCACGCTGGTGTTCGCCGCCTTCACCTACGGCTTCTCACCCGTGCTGAAGACACTGACCGAGTCCATCAGCACGGACACCATCTACGCCATGTCGGCCCTCATGCTCCTCGGTCACCTCATCTTCTTCGACTACGGTGCCAACGCTGCCATCGTCTCCAGCACGCTGTCCCTCAACATGGCTATCTTTGCCTCAGTGTGCCTGGCCTCCCGCTTGCCTCGCTCCCTCCACGCCTTCGTCATGGTCACCTTCGCCATGCAGATCTTCGCCCTCTGGCCCATGCTGCAGAAGAAGCTGAAAGCCCAGACGCCCCAATGCTACGTGGGGGTGACGGTGCTCTTCGCGCTGGCGGCGCTGGCAGGGCTGGCCACTGTCTCCAGCGTGGGTGCCGTGCTCTTCGCCTCGCTGCTGCTCACCATCTCCTGCCTCTGCCCTTACTGCCTCATCCGCCTTCAGCTCCTGAAGGACAACATCCACGGGCCATGGGATGAGGCTGAAATCAAGGAGGACCTCTCCAGGTTCCTCATGTAGGCCTGTCTCGGGGGGAGAAGGGACCTTCTGCTGTGAGCGGTGCAAAGGTCCTTGCTGGGGGACAGCCCTGGGGGGAGGACACCAGCCAATAAAGCCTCTTGCACAGCAACAAGGACCACATTTGCATTACCCGCAGCATCTGTTTCCAGACCCGACCTGCTTGGTTTTGGCAAAGGACGGAGCTGAACTGCGCAGAGTGGCCGGCCCATGCAGCAGCCCAGGGCGCAGGCGAGTGAGGCAGCGCATGCTCTGGCCACGCAGACCCATATCTGCATTTGGTTTGGGGGGGTTCAGGGCGGGTGTGCATCCCCTGAGCAGAAACATCACATGGAAATGCGCATCTGGCTCAGAGGCGCCCTGTGACATGCCCACGGAGGTCCTCAGCCCCAGGGACCTTGATGTGCGCGATGGGGACTGACAGCCCTTCCCTGGGAGGGCTGGAGGGGAAGGGGGCTGTGTGAGGGTTGCTGTGTGCAGGGCGGAGGTGCAGGGTGGTGGGTGCTGCCGGACCCGCAGGACTGAGCCCGAAGGCACCTGAGACGGGTGCCGTGCAGAGCCCTGCTCAGCTGCACCTTGCCAGTCACTGATGCCAGAATAGTCTCACAGCAGTGCCACACAGCACATGACCCTAAATCCTTTGGGGGCGGGGGGGCGGTGAGTAGGCAAGACACCTTCTTCCCCCCTCTAACCCCCTCCCAGAGGCAGATCTGGCCTCTCTGCAGGGCCAGAACCTGAGTTAAAGTGATGGAGCTCAGTACAGACCCCCATGGGTGCACCCACCCTCTGGGGAGATGCCAGGCTGCTGGGACAGCGGTGGGGCCCATTGAGGTCCTGTCTGGCAGCTGTCTGTCCAGCAGCTCTCTGTCCGGCCCCGCACACACCACACCAGAGCACGCTGCCGGCAGACAAGTCCTGCTGGAGGCCAGGCCAGGCCAGGCTCCGCCAGCCCCAGCGCTGGGAGGGCTTCCCCAACACTTTCCCTTTCCCTGCTCCCCTCTGGGACCTATCCAGATGCCTTGGGGAGAGGGAAGAGATGCACACACCTGCCTCAGCCCCACCTCGCAGGGATGCATTTGGTATTTTTAGGGTTTTTAGGAACTTTTCTCTTTTGGAAATCCAACGCGGCGGAAGTGCAACTTTCTGCTTGATTTACATCCTTCCTTTGAGCACCGGTGTCTCACCCCAGCGATCGGGCTTTTGCCACGCACTCCTTGGGCTTTCTCGGAAATGAGCAACCCCCAGCCGAGTCCCCAACACCTCCAGTGCTTTGTTACAGCTCTTGCCAAGTGTTAAATGCAGCTGTTGTCGTCATGGTGATGACTACATCTCATTTTGGTTTTAATTAAAACCTGCGGAAGTTTAGAGCCTGTGCTCCAGTCTCGCAGGGAGGACAGAGTAGCCAGATGCTCACAGTCAAGATGACATTTTTTAGTTCCTTAGAAAGAAGGAAGATTGTTTTTTCACAGGGAGGTTTCCCAGAAGCTGCTCAGTGACCGGGGTGTCCCATCTCGCGCTGGGTTAGTGCCACTGTAACGCTGACATCCAAAGCCCATTCACAGAGCCCATCGGTAGGGCACGGCTTGAGTGTACATCAAAAGTAAATCAAATCTAGCCCGCTTGCTGCCTGTTGTTAATGTCTGTCATGGTAGAGGCTACAAGAAAAGATGAGTTTCTGCTGCACCTATTCCTCCAAGGAGAAATATTTCCCGAAAAGTACTCTTCCCAAATTCAGATTCTCAAAACCAGCTCTGGGTTAGGAAAAGTGCGAACATCAACTACCCAGACATTCCAGGTGGAGACAGGCACAGACTGCCACCATTGCCTCAGCCACGGCTGGAACCCAGTGGATCACCTGTGCAGATCCCTGTGCTTCGACTGAGGCAGCAGGCCCCGTCTGCCCAGCTCCAGGCAGGATGTGGGATATGTCCCGTCCAGCCCACCACAGGCAACTTCATCCCTGCTCACATCCCCAGGCCCCTCTGCTCTGCCCAGCTCCTTCCCGTCACCTCCCCCTCAGCCTCAGTCCTTGCCCAGAGATCCCCTGGCTTAGCCCTCCCCTTAGCTTGCCCACAGAGATACCCCGCTCTCCCTAACCTGGGAGATGAAAATATAAAGCCCAGTCTATGGCCTGGATGCACAAAGGGACTTTGAAGGAGGCAAAAATGCAAGAGAGAGCCAGGGAGAGGAGAGGAGGAGACACAAAGGCCAGGCAGAGTTTGCCTAGGACTTCTCTGACCTTCTCCTGAGGCCACATGCTCTGCAATGCCACTGAAGTTCTTTAAGATGCTGAATAGATGGCCATTACGAGTATGTCTTTGTGCCTGAGGTCAGAATATCCTCTACAGAACAAAACTTTGCCATAACTATGCCCAGCTCAGCAGTAAAGCTGGATGCCCTTTGAGCATTCACTACATAAGCGTACTGGTCTGCAGCTTCTCTGATGAAGCACACGCTGAGACCAAAGAAATAGGTCCTTCTCAGTTTGTATGCACCAAATCATCCTCAACCAACTCTAAAGAGTTAAATGTTATTTTTCATTACAAGGAAGTGCAGTTTCTTTTTGTTTCCAAGTCCACTGAGATCAAGTACTTCAATGGGACATTTTCTTTTGATTTGAAGCTGGCCAAATGCGAGTAATTGTAAACTGGCTGGGGATAAGCCTTGCTCCTGGGGGAGCTGCTGACACGTGCTGTCTGGAATCTCCATCTACAGCCTCTGCTGCAGGGAAAGGCAAGCATCAGCCACCCACACTGTGCTGTCAGGGGCCCATGTCCCTCCCCACATGGGAGACTGGATCTGGGAAGC